ATTTGAAAAGTCATTTTCAGCCACTTTTGGACCATTAGTGTCTTGACTAGTATGAATGACAGTACTCTTCCTTTTAAAACTAGAAGTTGAAGCAGTCGATTTACGATTTAATTCTTCCAGTAAATCTTTGATTTGTTTATTTGTCTCTGAACGATTTTTCAGTTTCTCTTCAAAATCTTTCCCAAGAACACCATCACTTGACAGTTTAAGTGATAAAAATTTGTCATTTAGTTCAGTTATGTCCTCTAGACCTGTATCTAACAAGGTAGCTTTCCTACGAATGATGAAACACACCTGTTCTAGCTGTTTGATCCATAGCTTCCACTGACATAGCAAAAATGTCTTTCACCATTTGAACAAATAAATCAATGTTTGGCTCGGAATCATTCAATTTTTCCATTAATGAACCCAAAGCTTGTTGCATATATGCAGTTATAACTAAACTCATTCTAGCTGCTGACTGACCTTTGAAAGCCATATTTTCAAAAGTTTTCTCAGGTTGAGAAAAAAGTTTATTATGAGCTTTACCAGCTTTAGGACCATGCCGTTTACAGAGTAAAGTTTGAGTAATGTCATCCAGTTTTGGTAAGTTTAGTATATCAGCAGATTTATCACTCACAGGAAAACTAGCCCTATATTCCTCTTTATACGTAGACAATAAAAGAGGATTATCACAGTGCCAAGATTGATGCAAAATATTAATCTGACTTTGATCTAGAACAATACCAACTTCAGTTTTGTCTGGTTTAGTTTTGGCATCTTCACCAAAAATATCACCAAGAATATCTCTACTGACATTTTCAGTTTTAATAGAGTCCTTATCAACTACCGAATATCTCTGAAAACAGTTATGTGTACTGTTTTTATTCACAGAAGATTGTTGGGATTCATTGTCAGAATCTATATCTAAATCAAGACCCCTTCTTTGGTTTTTATCCGGTTGAAGGGAAATTGCATTATCAATGTCATTGTCATGATTTGCAACATTAGTATGTCTGAGAAAATTCTGCCCAACTGACATGGCAATGTCTCTAGAATCCTGAGAAATATTCTGCCCACCTGAAGTGGCAATTTCTCTGTCCGTTTCTTGATGTCCACCTGAAGTGACAGTTTGAGAAACGAACTTTTCGAAAAGAGATAGAATAAAATGCTCAGCTGGGCGCAGCTTGATACGACCGTAGAGGTCGAACCCTGAACAGTTGGGGCAAGTATGGACACAACATTCAAGCTTGATACAGCACTGAATTTGGATTGTGATTTAATATTTGACACAGCATAGGTTTCTGACACAGAATGAATGTGGTCTAAGAACTTAAAAAATTTTAATTTACCTATTCAAACCATATCATCACTATTTGCTTTTATATATAAATCAGAAATAACCAATTTAAAATGGAAAATTTTAAAGAAAAAAAAGGAAAAAAAAATCCCCCCCCAAATTTTTTGAACCTCCTTATGATTCATCATCCCCAAAATCAATCCTAGCCTTCCCTTTGTGGTATGGTACCTTGCAGTACAATTTCAGAGAGATCCATACACTTGAACACAAGTTATTGTCTGGAAACTAGAAAAATGCTTATTTTGGCCCTTTTTTAGCCCCTTATTCCTAAACGTTTTGGGCAATTACACCCAAACTAAATTCCAGCTTTCCCTTTGTGATATGGAACCTTGTAGTACAATTTCAGAAAGATCCATACACTTACACACAAGTTATTGTCATGAAACTAGAAAAATGCTTGATTTTGCCCCTTTTTTGGCCCCTAATTCCTAAAATTTTGAGGCAATTACCCCCAAAATCAATCCCAGCATTCCCTTTGTGATATGGAACCTTGAGGTACAATGTCAGAGAGATCCATAAACTAACACACAAGTTATGTCTGGAAGTTACAAAAATGCTTATTTTTGGCCCCTAATTCCTTAATTGTTGGTACCATAACCCCCAAAATCAATCCTAACCTTCCTTTTGTGGTATTGAACCTTATGGTTAAATTTCATGGAGATCCATTCACTTAAACTAAAGTAAGAGTGCGAAAACCAATGTGTCTTCGGACGACGACGACTACGCCGGACGACGACGCCAAAGTCATACCAATATACGATAAAAATGTCCATACGAGAATTCACCGAATTCAGGTTCTCTATGACACTTGAAATTTCTGCTCTCAATTCATTTTCTACAGTTAATGACAAACCTGTTGTCAAAATTGTCTCAGCTTCATCTGATACTTCTTTAGGACACGTGCTGCTAGCAGTAGAAGATTTACGAGAAGATTTACTCGTCGACTTTTTGCAACTTCCGATCTGTTTGACTGACGATTTCTCGTTTTTATCAGAGCGAGACGAAGTAGCTTTAGGAGAATTTGCCTCTTCACTTGCTGAATGTATGGCCGTAATAAAAGCTTCTGCCATGTGGACAATGAAAAGCATCTATCTCAAAACTTATAAACTATGAAAATACATGAGAAATAATTCAAAAAAGTAACATTTTCCAAGAGGAAAATATAAAGGGTGTGAACACTTTCCCCCGAAGAAGAAGACTGGGGAATCACGCATGCGTGGTGGGAGTCGATACACCTGAGTGCTTTATTAATATTTCAAAGCGCGAACGGCGGTGTGAATACTAATTAGGGGGAGATTATCCTAATGTAATTTCCAATTACGTAAGTATAATGAATTAATATAAAATTTAATAATAATTAAACTACAAGCCATCCGCTGTATTTCAAAAGGCTATCTGTTTCTTCAGAAAATAACCATACTTTGCGTAGTGATTATGTAAGCAATCCATTCATTTTTTTACACAAGACTCAGATGAAGTCCAAACAACAAAAAGAATCAACAATACTGTATACAATTCTATAAGCAATCATCATTCAAAAATGTTAAAGAGGTACGCCAAAAAATTTAAATAGTTTTCCCCATTTTCACGCAAATCTAATTTTGTAACTTGCAACTTGATTTTCGTAACTCACAACTCGACTTTCGTAACTTTCAACTCGACTTTCGTAACTCGCAACTCGATACTCGACAACAAGTGAATCTCATGCACAAGTGCACATGTATCTGTTCCACACTTTGTACAAGTGTTCATGTTGGTTTAGACCTATAAAGAGGTTAAACTCCTAACTATCCTACTGTCTGTCGATACATTTATTTTTGGCATTGCACTAGTCATGTCTTCTTTGACTGTCCATGACGTTAAAATACTAAATCCCTGGGATGTGTTTTAGTTGATTTTAGTCTCTGATGCATGATTTTTTATTATTAATTGTTTTGGCTTTTAACTAGCTGTCAGTAACTGCGAGTACTCTCAAATCGTACTTTCTTGTTTATTTGACCTGTTGATACTTATTGTATTGCTTTTTTGTTATTTAATGTTATTCAGGGTTATATCTGGTCTATATACCAGCTTTGATAAGTGTTTGGTATAACTATAAATTTTTACTTCGTACTATGAACATCAAAATTATTTATTTTGTAAAAGTATTTCCTTTCTCTATTGGTACTGTACACTTATACCTAACAACAAAATTATTTTCATTTACCTGTGTTTAAAGTTATTGCAAATGGATGGTATTTTTGTTCGAGCATATTGTTTTTCTTTTATTGTTAAACATTTCTTACCTATATAACATGTTACTTTTATTATTCTTCCCTTAGTCTATTTATTTTGTATTCTAAATTATTTACTTTGTAAAAATATTTCCTCTCTCTATTGGTACTGTACACGTATACCTAACAACAAAATTATTTTCATTTACCTGTGTTTAAAGTTATTGCAAATGGATGGTATTTTTGTTCGAGCATATTGTTTTTCTTTAATTGTTTAACATTTCTTACCCATATAATATGTTACTTTTATTATTCTTCCCTTAGTTTATTTATTTTGTATTTACATTGTGTCATAGGTCAAATTTATTTGTTCAGTGTATGTTCAATGGTGTTAATATGTCCTTTGATTGAGTTAAGCTATTTCAGTTGATATTTTATAGTGTGTCTTTCTATGTTGTGATGTTACACTATTGTTTCAGAAAAAGGATGAAGGTTTGGTACCATTAAAACGTTTAAACCCGCTGCATTTGTTTGCACCTGTCCTAAGTCAGGAATCTGATGTTCAGTAGTTGTCGTTTGTTGATGTGGTTCATAAGTGTTTCTCGTTTCTCGTTTTTTATATAGATTAGACCATTGGTTTTCCTGTTTGAATGGTTTTACACTAGTAATTTTTTGGGGCCCTTTATAGCTTACTGTTCAGTGTGAGCCAAGGCTCTGTGTTGAAGACCGTACTGTGACCTATAATGGTTTACTTTTATAAATTTTGACTTGGATGGAGTTGTCTCATTGGCACTCATACCACATCTTCTTATATCTATGTATCTGATCCACACTTTGTACAAGTGTTCATGTATCTGATCCACACTATGCACAAGTGTTCATGTATCTGATCCACACTATGCACAAGTGTTAATGTATCTGATCCACACTATGTACAAGTGTTCATGTATTTGATCCACACTATGTACATGATGTACAAGTGTTCATGTATCTGATCCACACTATGTACAAGTGTTCATGTATCTGATCTACACTATGCACAAGTGTTCATGTATCTGATCCACACCATGAACAAGTGTTCATGTGTCTGATCCACACTATGCACAAGTGTACATGTACTGTAAAAATCGTTACCGGTATTTGAAACGGTTGTTTTATCCACAGTGTTGTTCCCTGCGCCTCATATAAGGGTGCACCTTGTGAATGTATTTTTTCTGATTTTTTAGGGCAAGGGTGAAAAAAACAGTATTTTGAGACCTGCTGGTGTTTAATATGTTATATTTTGTTATAAATATATCTACATTACCATTCTTCATTTATTTACTTATAAGTGTCATTGTTAAGTAATAACCAACATACTTATTTGTTTACATGTGTTCTGAATGTTTGAAAAATGAAGAGAGTATCGAATGATGTAGGTTATTGATATATATTGAGACATCTATTACCTGAATTTTTGTCTTCCAACTTTATAAACAAATCTTTGCCTAGAGCTACAATTCTCATTCGACCAGTCCAATCTGGTTCATCCAACTTCCAGTCAGCAGCTCTATAAATAAAGAAAATAAGTCAGAATAATTATAAATGCTTTTAAAACATTTAATTTGGTAGAATATTTTTTTCTTCATTGATGCTCATTTTGTGCTTTTGTTCAAATCAACTATTGAAATTGATAGTTTACTTGTATCACTGTTCAAATAGTATCTAAGAAGTCTCAAATCAACTTATCATAATAACTTGGAAATTTACTATCAAAACATTACACAATGATACTGTTGTTCACAATGCCAGTTCTACTAGAGAGAGAAAACCTATATCACAGTTAACAGTCCTGTACTAAACATATTAATAATAAACCTATTGTGTATAAATGTATTGTTTCCATGGGAGATTAGACACATTAAGAGTATCAGGAGTGAATAATTCCTGGGCTGGTTTGTGAGTAATGGTAACCTTGTTGACGGAGTAGCTGATGGAAAGGAAGGGTAACCTTGTTGAGGGAGTAGCTGATGGGATGGAAGGGTAACCTTGTTGAGGGAGTAGCTGATGGAAAGGAAGGGTAACCTTGTTGAGGGAGTAGCTGATGGAAAGGAAGGGTAACCTTGTTGAGGGAGTAGCTGATGGAAAGGAAGGGTAACCTTGTTGAGGGAGTAGCTGATGGGATGGAAGGCTAACCTTGTTGAGGGAGTAGCTAATGGGATGGAAGGGTAACCTTGTTGAGGGAGTAGCTGATGGGATGGAAGGGTAACCTTGTTGAGGGAGTAGCTGATGGGATGGAAAGATAACCTTGTTGAGGGAGTAGCTGATGGGACGGAAAGATAACCTTGTTGAGGGAGTAGCTGATGGGATGGAAGGGTAACCTTGTTTGTTAACTATTTAGTTTAGTAGTTTAGTTACTAAGTTTAGTCTTTAGTCTTTAGTTCTATTTGTATGTATTTTTGTATTTACAGTTTGTAACTTGGTGGGTTTAGATTAAAGTGTACAGAGAACATTTAAGTCATTTATAGTCATTTAACAGTGGTAGCAGAGCTCACAACATCTGGCGAGATGGCAACGGCTCTGATTTATAAGAACCAACCAAGCTTGACAATAGAGAAATCATATCAGCAATGGAAGAATGAAGTGAAGATGTGGCAACTGGTTACAGAATTGGACAAAAAGAAGAGAGGCTTAGCACTTGCGTTGTCGTTACAAGGAAAACAAAGAGAAGTAGCATTAGAAATAACACCAGAGGATTTGAATGTTGATGAAGGATTTGACAAATTAATAACAGAATTAGATAAATTGTTTGAAAAGGACAAGATAGATCAAGCTTGCAGCATATACAGCTTTTGATAAGTATCACAGGGAGTCTTCAATTAAAATGTGTGACTATATAATTGAGTTTGAACAGAAGTATAACAAATGCAAGAAATATGACATGGCACTTCCTGATGCAATTTTAGCATTTAAACTCTTAGATAATGCAGGACTTGGTCAAAGTGACAGACATTTAGCTCTAACTGCATGTTCTAATTTAAAATTTGATACCATGAAGGCAGCCCTTAATAGGATATTTGCATCAAAATCACAGAGTGATAATGATATAGTTACTGTTAAAGAAGAATCTGCATTTGTAGGAGAACATCGTTTTGATAGCCCCGGCGTAGTTCAAGGAGATTTGGTGCACGCAATCGCATAAATAGATCATTTGATCAAAGAAATGCTCAATCCAGACTAAATCCAACTATCAATGGCAGCATATCTCGTTGTAGATGTTGTGATTCAAAATATCACTGGTTCAGGGATTGTCCACATAAAATATATGATGTTAAACTGACAGAGGAACAAACAGACACATCTGAAACTGTAAACATAACTCTAATTACAACTTCTCAACAAAACATTACACCTCAAGAAATTTTTGTAGCCGAGGCATTTAATGCTGCAGTTGTAGATACAGCATGTACCAAAACAGTTTGCGGGTCTAAATGGTTACATCAGTTTTAGACACTTTCTACTCTGCTAATGAAGAAATAAAATGCAAGGAAAGTCATACACCTTTCAAATTTGGTGATGGTAAAACAGTGTATTCTTATCAGTGTGTAAAGTTACCTGCCACAATTGGGTCTTTAAATTGTTACATAGAAACAGAAGTAGTTGACTGCGAAATACCTCTATCATTGAGCAAAGATTCTTTGAAAAAGGCACAAACAGTTCTTGATCTCCATAATGATAAAGTGACAATGTTCGGAAAACCAGTCGATGTTCATTTCACCTCAAATGGTCATTATTGCATAAACATTAAAGACCGAAGAACTGGGCAGAACGATACTGTAGAGAGTGAGGAGGAAATCCTGAAGTCTCTAAGAAAAACTGCATAAACAATTTGGTCATGCCTCATCTGAAAAGTTGTTATCTCTATTGAACAGTGCAGGCTCAGTTGACTCAGATACAAAAAGGCAATAGTGAATGATGTTTGCTCAAAGTGCATTATCTGTTTCAAGTTTCAATGTCCAAAGCCAAAGCCAGTAGTGGGATTTTCCCATGCAAATGATTTTAACCAAATTGTTGCTATGGATTTACATGAAATTGATCACAATTTCTACTATTTGCACATAATTGACTTGTTTAGCCGTTTGAGTGCAGCAGCCATTATCAGGAGAAAAGACTCACAGTTAGTTGTTGGCAAATTCATGCAGATATTGGTTAGTGTATATGGTGCTCCTGAAGTTGGAGTATACACTGACAATGGACTGAATGGTGGGGAATTCAATTCTCAAATTTTTCGTGATATGGCTGAAAATCTAAACATGTCAGTTAAGACGGCAGCAGGATACAGTCCCTGGTCAAATGGAATTGTAGAACGACATAATGCAACTGTAACTGAAACAGTTAACAAAATCAGAGAAAGTTCAAATCTATCTTTGGAAACTGCAATTAGCTGGGCTGTGAATGCCAAAAATAGTCTTGTTAATGTGTATGGATAAAGTCCTTATCAGATTGTGTTTGGAAGAAATCCTAACCTGCCATCAACACTAGTCAATAAACCTCCAGCTCTTGAAGGAGAAACAATGAGTAAAACAATGGGAAAACACTTAGTTGGTCTTCACGAGGCAATGAAAGCATTTGTAGCATCAGAATCCTCTGAGAAAATTAGACATGCTCTTCGGAAGCAGGTTCATCCCTCAGGTGAGAAATTCAAAAATGGAGATAAAGTATACTTTCTTAGAGACAATCAATGAAAAGGACCTGGTACAGTTATTGGAGAGGACAATGTTGTTGTGTTTATAAGGTATGGAGGAACTTATGTAAGAGTACATGAATGTAGGATTTTAAGAGATTTTGATGAACAAAAAGCTAAGAAAAACAAACAACAGGAAAAGAGGGTAACATTGAAAGAAAGTCTCAAAACTCAAAACTTTGACAAGAATAAGGCTGAGCATGAAGTCCTTTATTATGATAGTGATGAAGAGGAAGACTCGCATGCCAACAATCAGTCAGACAATGAACATGGTGAAAGTGACGATGAAGTAGAAGGACATGAATCTGAATTAGGAAGTCAGGCAGGTGACTCTGAACTAGACAGTGATAATCCTGTGATTCAAGGACATGAATCTTATGAGGAAAGTTGATCAGGAGGTGACTCTGAACTTGAAAATGATAATCATGAAGATACTCCAGTGAGAGAACAGAGCAATGAACAAGCAACTTCTCTAGTGCACAGTAGAAGTGTTGATTCTAAGTGTAAAAAAAGCTATACTTTTAAAAAAGGACCAAAAAGTGAACTTTAAAATGCCAGGTGATGATACTCCACGAGAAGGAGTTGTTCTGAGTAGAGCTTGTAAAGCATCGTCAAATAAAAAGAATTGGTACAATGTAGAATATAGGAAACCTGAAGACCTTAGAGGTAACAAGCTGTCAATAGACTTAAGTACAGTTAATGAATTGGAAGTTGTAAAAGTCTGACACAGATCAGGATATAGAGGATTACGAAGAATCAGAAGAAGCATTCTTCAATGAGATTGACTTTTGTGATGCTCGTAAAGCTGAACTTGAAAATTGGAAGAGACATCATGTTTATCAAGAAGTTGAAGACTATGGTCAGTCATGTGTATCCACTAGATGGATATATACTATAAAAGAAGCTGATAATGAAATACACAGGAAAGCAAGACTCGTTGCAAAAGGTTTTGAAGAAGATTGTTTGGATGAAATACAGAAAAATTCTCCTACATGTGACAAACAATCTCTTAGACTCATTCTTTCAATAATAATGCAAAAGAAATGGTCCATCAATTCCATTGACATTAAAACTGCCTCTCTGCAAGGAGAGAAAATGCAAAGAAAAGTTCATCTTCGTCCACCTAAGGAAGCTAATGCTAATGGAAAAATCTGGCTTTTAAAGAAATGTGTGTATGGTCTTGCAGATGCTTCTTTGAAATGGTATGAAAAGGTTAAGAAAACCCTAAATGAATGTTGAGGTACTGAATCTAAAGTTGACCCAGCAGTATTTTACTGGCATAATTCCAATGGTCTGGCTGGTGTACTAGCAGTTCATGTTGATGATTTTTTGTGGGCAGGAACCAATTTGTTTGAAACTGAGGTTATATCAAAAATAAGAGAGAAATTCAGTTTCGGAAAAGAAGCTTCAGAATCTTTCAAATATTTAGGACTGGGTCTAAGTCATGCTGATGATAAAATTATACTGAGTCAGACAGATTATGTTGAAGTGTTAAAGACAGTCTCAATTGATAGGAAAAGGCCAAATGATTCTCAACTTTCATCAGTCAAAGAAACTGTTCTAAGATCAAAAGTAGGACAACTGTTGTGGCTTGCAAAACAAACGTCCCGACATTGCTTTTGACATCGCTTATGATTGCATCAAAGTTAAAGACAAGTACTATTGAAGACCTGAAAGGAGTGAACAAGCTTTTAAGGAAAGTTAGAAATGATCCAGTGTCCCTTCATTTCAAGGAACTTGGAGAACATGTAGAACTTTAATTATATACTGATGCTTCTTTTGGAAATCTTCCAGATGGGGGAAGTCAAGGAGGGTTTGTGATTATG